AAATCATATAATAAAGCTCGAAAAGCTATTATTTTACATTTTATACTTTTTAACTTTACGGTTAATAAGCGCGTTTAATCTTTTACTCTTTTTTTTATTATCAACTTTAAAAATCATAGCGTAATTCTCGGACGAGCATAGTTAGTTAAGCATTAGATTCTCTTTGATTGCGCGCGCCGTAAGCTTTATTAACTTCGTTTTAACCTTTCGACCGCTACTTACGTTAAACTTATTAAAATTACGCACTTTAATTAGCGTAAAATAAACGCTCGTTATTAATACGACGCTAATAAGCGTAATCGAGCTTTAAACCGCTTTTAAAAAGCTTACGACGCTAATTTATTTGTAAATTATAATTTACGAGCGAATTAAATAGCAACGATAATCGCAAAATCATTTTTTTCTTTTCGAAATCGTTTTTCTTCCGCTTCCTCTTTTAAGATCGTTAAACCTTTTTCTTTTATTTACTTTTTCGTAGAGCCGTTACTCTTTCGCTTTACGAAAAACACTTTTTTTAAGAATTACGTTAAATTAATATCTTAAATAAATCGTAAGCTTTTATTAACCGATATCGCTTTCGTAAAACCTTTTTTGCTCGTTAAACGCTCTCGTTAAATATTTAAGTATAAAATCAATAGAAACTTTAAAATTAACGGCGTCTTTAGATACGCTTTTTATATAATCGCTCGTTAAAAAGACGTAAAACTATTCTTTACGTCTTTTTACAAACTCGATTGCTTAATCTTCGAGCGTTAAACGATTGCTTTTACTTAAGCTAATTATTAAGCAGCGCTAATACGCTTTATTAACGGCTTTATCTTTGCTATTAATCTTGCAACGAAATTATTAAAGCTTATTAACGATTTTTTTATTTCTTTCGAATACTTCGATTACGCATACGTGTTTTTTAAAGCCGTTAATAACGTGCTAGCATTATATAAGCCTTACGATTACAAAATCGAGCTTCTTAAAAAAAAGGAAAAAGCGCTTTAATACTTATTATTATATAAAATATCGATCTTTAAGTTAAAGCTTATTAAAGCTTACTTTATCGATAATCTTAACAAAGGTTTTATCGAACTTTTAATTGCGTTATTTGCAGCTTTAATCCTTTTCGCTAAAAAGTAAAACGGTTCTTTTCGCTTTTATATTAACTTCCGCGCGCTAAATAACTTTATTCGTAAAGATCGGTACTTTCTCTTTTTAATCGATAAGACTTTCGTACGTCTTTTAAAAGCTAAAATCTTTACGAAACTCGATATTCGATAAGCCTTTTATAAAATACGGATAGACTTAGCTTTAAAAAAGCTTATAACATTCAAAATACGCTACGGTGCTTATAAATGCAAAGTTCTTTTATTCGGATTAATTAATAAACCCGCCATTTATTAACGCTATATAAATAACTTCTTTTTTAACTTTTTAAATATCTTTTGCACGATATATTTAAACGATATCTTAATCTACTTCTCCGACTTTTTAAAACACGCTTATTACGTCCGCTAAGTTCTTTAACGACTCGACGACGCTAGCTTTTAAATTAATATTAAAAAATGCGAATTTAATATTATTAAAATAAAATACTTAAGCTTTATCATTTCTATCGAAAGCTTAAAAGTAGATCCGGATAAGACGTCGATAATAAAGTATTAAGCGCTTTTTACAACCGTTAAAAGCGTTTAAAGCTTCTTTAGATTTTATAACTTTTACCGCCGATTTATTCGAAATTACGGCGTGATCGTAAAGCTTTTAATACACTTAATTAAAGCTAACGTTTCTTTTTCATTTAATTCTTAATATTAAAAAAGCTTCGACCTCTTGAAGCTCGCTTTAATTATTGCGCTAATCTTATAGCATTACAATTAAAACTTTTTTTATATATTAAAAACTAACGTTTTAAACGGCGTAATCGCTTTAGTCTTTTCTTAAAAGCATAATCCCGATTAGCTATTAGTCGCTTATTATTTTAAAACTATAGCTTCCGTTAAGCTTAACTACGTCGTTTACGATAAAAAGATGCTAGCTATTATACGCTCTTTTAATAACTTTCGCGCTAAACTCGTCGGCTTTTCTTATTAAGTTTAAGTAATTACCGATTATAAAGCTTTAAAATACTTTATAACTTTTAAGACCTTTAACGCTCGTTAAGCACGCTAAGCAAAGCTCTTTTTCGATTACAACTTTATTATTACGTATAAACTAAGTAAAAACAATCTTTTAATTAACGCGCTAATACGTCGCATCGAAAAACTCTTTTTTTAAAACAGCTTTAAGCGCATTTAACGCTTGCAAACGCTGCTCCGCGCTAATAACGTTGACTTACGACTTTTAATCGAAAAGCTACGCTAACTTATACTTTCGAAGACCGCCGTTATTATCGAAAAGATCGCAAAGCTTTTATTAATATTTTAAATTATTAATTAAGTCTTAAAAGCTAATCGGACCGCTTTTAGTTTCATAGCACTTCGAATTCAAGCTTTTAAAGCTAAGCTTTTACTCGTGAACTACGGTTTACGAGCTAAACTTATTATAAAAAGCGACTTACTGCTTTATAACAGCCGCTTATTAGTTCTCGACGTTTAAAACTTGCGCTCGTTACTCGTCTGAAAAGTCTACGACTAAGTATTTACGGCACACTTTAGCTTTCGTAAAACTTATAAGCTCTTTGCAATATAATACTACTAATACGGCATAGCTAGATTCGTCAACTAATACTGCTGCAACTGCTACGCTTGCAAACGAGCTTTAATACTTCGCAATAAAAAACTTAATTTGCTTTAACTTCTCTCGATCTTTTCGCGCTTTTAAAAGCACGTTACTATAGATTTTTGCAGCTTTAATAAAAACAAATACGGCTACGATAACGTCTTTATAATAATCGACCGCTTTTTTAAGCAAGCAATCTCGATCTTTTATCATAAGTCTATCGATGCTAAAAGCCTCGCTAAGCTTTATATTTATTACATTTATAAGTATTTTAAAGCTCTTTTAATATTAACTTCTAATAAAGGACTTTAATACTAGTCCGAGTTCTAAAAAGAATTTAATAAGATCTTCGGCATTAAACTAACTTTTAACACCGCCGCACACTTTAAAACTAACGGTCAAATTAAAATTTATAATTAGTATTTGCAAAAACGCTTCCGTCTTTTCGTAAGCTATTATTAAAACGATTAAAGCGAGTTCTTTTTTATAATAGACTTCGCTTAATTAACGCTCTTTTACGACTTTTTCGGCGGCCTTTTTTTTTTAAAGTAATTTATAGCTACGCTTTTCGAACTACTTAAAATTAAAGCTTGAAACGACTTAACGACCAAACCCTTTTTCGCAAGCTTAACTAAAACGAAGCTCGCGCTTACGCTAACCGTCACTTCGAAGCTTAAAACCTCGTTAAAAAGCACTTTCAGCGCGCTTAAGACCGCATAGCTAAACAAGCTAATAAATTAAAGCGCTCGATTAACTTCGACGTTAATAATAAAGTTTAATTAAATATGCGCTCGTTCTTTACTTTACGACCGTCAAAGAAGCTCGATAACTCGACGAACGGATCGTTCAAGGTTATCGACAACGTTTATAGCAGCTTTAAACTCAAGCTCTCCGAGTTAATAAAAGTTCACTTAGTCTTCTATTCCGGACGGCTACGAAAAGCTTTTAATAACTTTATTTTTAAGCAAATCATTTTTAAACTTAACTCGATTAATATTATTAACGAACTTAAGTACGAAATAAAAAATATCTTAACCGTACGCTAAACCAAAAAGCACTTTAAGTACCGCGCTTCTTAGCTCGGCCGCGATATTAACTTTACTTAATACCCCGCTTTCGACTTTATATACGCTCTTTTTAAAATACGTAACTTTTATTTAAAATACAAAAAGCTTTTCGACTTTTTCGCGAAGCTTTTCGAATAAATCAAAGCTTATTCAAACGATATTGATAATTACAATCACTTAAGCAGTAATAAAGCAATAGATAAACGCTCGAAGACGAGCTTTTTTTAAACGGAAAAGTAGTATAACGATACGCTAAGTCTTTTAAACGCACCTTATATGCGCTAAGCTACTTCTTTCTTTTTTTCTTTCGTATTCTTCGTATTTCTTTATTCCCCGCTTTTAACTTATAAACCATAGTTCACGAGTCCTTAGCGCTTCTACTTTCGTATATATAAACCTCAGCTACCTTCGACCTTTATACTCGGTAGTTATTAATTTTAAATCATTACTTTAAGATTCTCTTAAGCTCTTATATGAACCCCCGCGCTCCCGTAAGTTCCTTCAAGTAATCGCTTAAGGTCGTCACAATTAGTAAATCTGATTAATAAATCTAATTAATAAATGTAATTAATAAATCTAATTAATAAATCTAATTATTAAATTTGATTAGTAATTATGCATATGCATATTTTTATATATATAAACCTTATAAGGTAACTCCACGCCTTGTAAGGTTTCCTTATAAAGAGGGCAGAATTTTATACCCCCCGTGGGTTCCCCCGTGGGGAGGACTCAAAACTCCGTGGGGCCCCATAGGGCCCCATGGAGCAGCCTATTTCGAAAGGGTTTTCGAAAAGCTATTCGAAAGCTAGCTATATTCGCTCATAATAAAGCTTTAAAAAGCTCTTAATCTCCGAAATTAAAATCGGTAAGTAAAGAAGCACGCGCGCGTTTTTTGCTTATTTTTATTTAGGTATATGAATCAATATTTGATATTTTCTATTATATTGAACTGTTCACGTTCCCCGCCGTTTTTTGCGCTGAAGCGGGACAGACTCTTTTCCCGGCATATACTTTTTTCGCCTACTTTAAGAAAGGGCCACAAAAGCTGCGACGTCAGGGCCCACTATTAGTGAAATGGATTTATTATTCCGATATAAAGTTATTACTTCAAATTCTATTTTCATTTTAAAAAAGCTCTTCAGCGCTTTTAAAACGATTCGAATAATCGCTCAATAATATCACAAAATATTTACAAGTGTAATTTAAATAATAATACAACCCCGATCAAAACAAATCACCCGAAGCCGATAAAGCAGGGGTTGTATGTCTACTTTCGGCCTCGCCATCCGCTACTTCTTTAGCTGAGTTTCCGATCTTCTTTCGCAGAAAAGAATTGCATAGTATGCCAGTAGCAACACTAACGTTCAAACTGTCAACAGTGTAGCTTTGATCACATCCCGGGATATACAAGTCGACGTCGGCTTTGCTCCTCAGATTCCAGCGAAGGCCTTCACCTTCACCTCCTAGCATAAGTATACAAGGGGACTCGGACAGTGGGTCGTCCAAGCAATCCGTTGAAATTGACTTCGGCATATGAGGATCATCGCGCTTCGAAGGAGCGACAGCTGCGAAGACCTTCCATCCCGCTGCCTTTGAATCGACGACGAAACCGGAGGGTTTGTTGACAGAGAACAAGGTGACGTTCTCGGAAGCACCTGCGGAGGCTTTGAGAACGACGGGGGTGAAAGATGCACTGTTGCGCGTTGAGATGGCGATGGCAGAGACTCCGAGGAACGAAGCTGTGCGTATAATACCTCCCAAGTTCCCGGGATCTACGATACTATCAAGTAAGAGAACGAATGGCTTGCGTCCAAAGGTGGATTTCGCAACTCTGATAAAGTTCTCCGTTCCGTTGACTGCAGCTTCTTCTCGGGATTGATAGTCAATGGTGACCTCGAAACCTCCTTGCTGCTCTTCAGATGCGGGTTTGAACTCCCCCAGATGAGTGACGGGAAGTCTGGGCAAGGGGGATGCTTCCAGAATGTATCCGTTGTGTGGACGTCCAGCGCTCATTTTGTCCATGAGCCGAACCCATTCGTTGCCTACTCGAACCACGTCGACGCCATTCTTTCGTGCCAGTCGTTGGAGTCTGGAGTCCCGATTTGCGTCCTCACGATTCTCACCTGTGTAGATGTAGAGTTTGTATAGCTTGCGTTTCAGTATCCTGCGGGACATCAAAGCCGCCTCGACAACAGAGGTTCCATAGAGAAATTCCGAGGCAGGTGTGGTGTATGGTATAGAAAGAGGTATTTTGTGGTCGGCAATGTGCATACTGCGAGGTTGGCTATTTGCAGAATCTCCATGGCGTTGCTCGTAAGGCCTTTTCGCGCCCCAATTGGAGCCTCGTTCGAAAGGCTTTCCACTACGCTCTTGCTTGTCCGATCTGCTGCCCGGGCCGACGGACCTCCCCTCGAACTGAGGCAAAGGGCTTCCCGAAGACGTCTTTTCCCTGAAAGGCCGGCTAGGGGTACTTTCGGAATCTTTGAAGGACTTTCGATCAGAAGAGAGTTTGTGGTGGGAGGCTTCTCGTTCAGAGATGGATCGAGATTTCGAGCTTGTGGTGGCAGAGGAACTACTATTTCCGTAATGCGAGTCTCCAGTCTTGCGCCCAAATGACAGCGAAGGGTATGATGGCTTAGGGGTAGAGCCTTCTGGTCTTTGAGGGAATTTCAGCTGAGGAGAGCGGTCAGATGGACGGGAACCTGACTGGGTTCGAAACTTGGAAGGCCTGGCTGGACGATCAGCATTTCGGTCCCCGGTATATGCCAATTTGCCCGGGTCTCCCCTATTCCCAAATCTGGCTCTCTCTGGCCGACCAGGGCCCTCGGCTTCCTTGGAATATTTCCGATCAGAGCCCTGATCGAATATCGTAGAGATTGAAGCACCACTGCCTTCTTCTTCGAATCTGCCACGCCTCTCTCGAGACTTGGCCTCGCCCGAAGAACGGCCAAATCTGGTGCCTGTTCTAGAGAATGCTGCGGTATTTCCATCGTAAGATCGTGTACCCGTTCTAACCTGTGCCTGTGCCTTCTCCCCCTTGGCCCTCCAAGCTTTGTCTGGGAAGCGATCTCCCTTCTCCTTCTCCTTCTCCCTCTCCCTCAGCTCTCCATATGTCGCCCGCTCATCGTTTTTCTGCCGCCGAGAATTGTGCGGAGGAATGCCTCTCGCTTGCCCGTACTTCTGCTCCTGCGGGTGCGGGCGTGGGACATTTGGATGATCGGACGATGTGTTTCTGAAGCCTACGCCTTTTGACTTGCGAAGCCCTCTGGCTATGGCAGTGTTGACGCTTGCTTTGGCGGCGTATGGGCGAAGCTGACAGGCACACGGGATCCTAGAGGGGACAGTGACGGTCCTGCGCGCCAGCATCAAACTGTTCATCGGATGGATATCGGAAGGGGGG